ATTCATCTGCTGTCCATTTCTGAGGAATGTTTCAATGGAAAGTACGGAAAATGGGGTGAAGACTGATGTGCTCGTGCGTGGCTGTAATCCCAGCTTCTTAGGGGGTTGAGTTCGAAGGCTGACAAATTGGAGACCAGGCTGGACACCTTAGTGAGACCTTGTTGCAGAATTTGAAAAATCGAAGACGAGGCAGTGAAGAAATTATCACATATTCGAGGCATCTTTTCTTGATTTTTTGTTTTGTTTTGTTTTTTGATGGGGACGGGGGTTGTCATTTATCGCTGAGCCAGTGCCAGTTTCATGGTTGTTTTATGGATGACAACTTAAAGTATTAGGAAAAGTGGTTGCCTTGTTAAGTTTAACTTTTCTCAGTTTGTTGAATGGATCTTACTGTGTTATGTTTTGCTGTTGTACATTCTTACAACATTAGTGGACACTATATGGTTGGTTTTCTTGAAATACTTCATGATGGGTTAAAATTTGGAACTTTTGAGGCTTTCAAATATGAGCTAGTGTTGTGCTTATTGATTTCATGTATTTGCACTGTTTTTACACAGGTGATATTCTTGGTATTTGTGAGGAGGGGAAATGATTTCTTTTAAGGGCTGGTGATTAAGGGAAGCTTCTTAAAGTAGGAAGAACTAAAGTTAGGTCCTGGAAGGTGAAAATAATCTTATATTAAGATGAGAAGCATGTCACATGAGAAAGAGAGCTTGGACAAAGGCAAAGGACTCAACAGTTCAGAGTGTCCATAGCAGTAATTTTATTTCTAGAATATCTTTGAGTTATAACCTTTCCAAATATGTGGTGCCCTGCACCCACCTTCAGTTTAGAGGCAGCAGTGTAAAATATTTGAAAGAGGGAGTTGATAGAGATAGTATATGGGAAAGATAGACTGGGAATTAGATAAGGAAGAAATAAAACTGTTTTACAGGAGACATGACCTTGTAAATAGAAAATCTTAAGGAACCTGTAAAAATTCTGTAGGTTTAAGACACAAGTTCAGCAGATTTCAGAACCTAAGACTAATATCGCAGCTGATTGTATTTCAATCTGCTTGGTAAGAACAATCTAGAAGTGAAGTTAGGAAAATATTTTCACAGATAAATAGCACGAAAAAGAATAAAATATTTAAAGTAATAGAAACAAAAGTAATTTAAAAGCTTACAACTTTAAAGCTACAAAACACTATTGAAAGGAAACTCATGATCATAGATTGAAAGATTTACAGTAATGCTGTTATGAATCCTATACGCTATCAGTTCATTGCATGTCTTATCAAAATCTCAACTTTTTAACATGTTAACCTAAAGTTTATGTGAAAAATGCAAAGGGCCCAAAGTGGCCAAAACACCTGGAAGATGAAGAACAAAGTTGGAAGACCCTCATTTCCAGATTTTACTTATCACAAAGCTAGAGTAATCAAGATAGTGTTACATTGGCCTAGATAGATATCTAGCTCAATGTAATGGAACTGAGAATTGTGAAAAACTTTTACACTTAATTGATTTTCTGCAGGGTTATCAAGGCAATTCAATAGGAAAAGATAGCAATCTTTTTAACAGATAATTCTGGAACAATTGAATATCCACAGGCAATAGAATGGAGCTGAATCTGTATTTCATACTATTTAAAAATTAATGGACCAAAGATCTAACATAATAATCAATACTGTAAAACTCTTAGAAGAAAACATAGGAGTAAATCTTTCTAACCTTGAAGTAGAGAGTGATTTGTTACATGTGATAAAAGCATATGCAAGAAAAGAAAAATAAATGTTAGATTTATATATTTTTATTTATGTTTTTGGTACTAGCATTGAACCCAGGATCTTCACACCTAGCTATATCCTTAGAACTTTAAAAAATGTTTAATTTCGAGACAGGGTTCCCCTGAATTGTTGAATTTCTCGGGCTGGGCTTGAATGTGTAATTCTTCTGCCAGTCTTTCAAAGTGCTGGGATTACAGGTATGCACTGCCACACAGAGCTAAATAAGCTGAATTTTACTCAAACTGAAAACATTATGCTTTAAAAAGCACCATTAGTTAGGTAAAAGGATAACACACAGACTAGGAGAACATATTTATAGGAACTCATACAATTAAATAATAAAAAGACAACCCAATTTAAGAATGAGCACAAGCAGTAGGTCGTGACTTCAATCCCCAGTACAAAAAATAAAATAATAAAATAAAATAAATCATAAAAATGGGCAAAGGATCTTAATAAACATACATGTCTCTAAGGAAAATATGCAAATGGGCAGTGGACACTTGGCAGGATGCTCAGTATCAATCATCATTAGTAGACTCAAAATCCCAGTAAGATACCACTATATATGCTCTAGGATGTCTGTAATAAAAAGTCACGGGCAAGCATGGAACCCTTGGACACACCAGCTGGAATGTAAAAATACTGCAGCTACTTTGGAAAACTGTTTGGCACTTCCTTAAACCATTAAGCAGATTTACTACTTGGCCCAGTAATTCCACTCTTACCCAAGAGAATTAAAATATATATGTTTAAACACAGAAACTTGTATATAAATTTATTATTTATAGTAGCCAAAATGGAGTCAACCTAAATATTCACCAGCTGATGAGTGGATAAAGAAAATGTGTGATTTCATCATCATCTTCTTCTTCTTCTTCTTCTTCTTCTTCTTCTTCTTCTTCTTCTTCTTCTTTTTGTGGTACAGGGGATCAAACTCACAACCTTGCACTTGCCAGGCAGGTTCTTATGCTGCTGAGCTAAATCCCCAGCCCTGAAAATGTGTTATTTCTATGTCATGAAAATTATTTGGTGATAAGATGGAATGAAGTTCGGATGCATGCTGTAGCATGAATAATTAACGTGAAAATATCGTGCTAGGTGAAAGAAGCCAGGCACCAAAAAACACAGTAGGAATGTATTTATAAATAATACTCAGGGCACACAAATCCCAAGAGAAGGAAAGTAGGTTGGTAATTCCAGTAACAGGGGTGGGGCCAGTGGGGAGTGACTGCTAAGTGGGTGGGGGGGCAAGATTCTTGTTTTGGAATAATGAAAGTGTTCTGGAACTAGAGAGCGCGAATAGTTGCACATTCTGAGCAAAGTAACAACCACTGAATCTTCAAAGAGAGCAGATGAAAGGTTGTACCACGTTCTTTACTGAAAAAATTAACATGTCAATATGCCACCCTAGGAAAAGGGATCGCTTTTTGTTGTTTTTTTTTGTTTGTTTGTTTGTTTGCTGTCTTCCTTTGAAAACCACATTTGAAAGGTTGCTTCCTTTTCAGATTTTGTGAAGCTATATTTGTGTGTGTGTGTGTGTGTGCATGAGTGTGTGCATGTGCATGCATGTGTGTGTGTTGGAGGAGGACTGTGGGTGGACTCAGGGCTTTGCCGCTGAACTGCTGTGTCACTAGGTCTGTCAGGTAAAGGTACTACACGTGCTGCTGTCACAGAGCAGTGTGTCTGCATCAGCACCTCATTCAAATGTAAGTGGAAAAGCGTATTTCAAGTTATTTTAAGAAATGGAACATGACACAATACACACTCTCAGGTGTACACATTTTAATGCACAGGGAATTCCATGTATTAACTCTTTTAAATTACTTCATTTTGTCAATGTCTTTAGTCATATCTTGCATACTATTTCAGTGTATATATTCTGACATTTATGAAATAAGCCACTAAATAGGAAGACTAGCTCTGTGGTGGTATTTAAACCAATGTCCTCTTTCAAAAAGTAGAAGTAAGTACACCGTATTTCTAGTATAGATGATTTTTTTTTTTTTTTTGGTACAGTGACCAAAACCAAGTTCCTAAGGAGCTGGACACTGGGTGTCCAGCTGACTGAATGCTTAATGACTTAATGCTTAATATGACTGAAATACCCATAAACTCTCAATTAAAATTTTGTTTATCAAGTTGTCCCAATTTTCAGTTTCACTGTTAATTTGGCAGAAAAATGTAAATTGGTCCATTACTACAATAAATGTAACTCAATTCTGTGTTGTTTGACTCTGCTTCAGCTCTCGAGGTTCTGCGTAAGATAGCATTAGTAGTTATGCAGTTTGTGATCTGTATGTGGAATCTACAGTCAAGAGAATAGAGTGGTGAGCAAGAGGGTCTAGGGAAGGAGGTGGAAGCTGGGAAGATGTGGGGAAAAGGAGGAAAATTTTGTTCGGTGGAATCCATTCAAGAGATTGATTGTACAAAAACATGGTTGAAAATTAAGAGAATAAATATTAAGTATATTTACCTTAAAAAAAAAAGAGTGTGAGGAAAGAAATGTTAATCAGCTCAATTTGGCCATCCTACAATGCATACATATATCAAAACATCATATGATAGATCTTAACACAACATTTTTGTCAATTAAAAAGCGAAATGATAAAATTTTTTATGCAACTGGGATCCTGAAAATCTTTGTCAGCACATTAAGTTTCCTATTTCATTTTGGTCTCATGCTCATTCCTCAAGGATGTTTTCACAGCCTTTTTCCTCCATAGAAATCTGACAGTGAAAGGGGAGACTTCTAACTGAAAGAAAAATATTTACTGACTTTAAATAGTATCTTTTTCCTGAGGCTCTGTCTCTGAGACTGCCCTGTGCATTCATGAGGCTACCTGGTATGATGTCCAATATAAATATATTAGTGGCTCTTTTCCAGTGGGTTTTGGGTGGTGATCCTTATCCTCACTTTAATCCCCTTTTTTTTTCATATGAGACAGCTGCAGTACCACACCCTTATGTATGGGATCTCATCAGAAGCAGGCTTAAATATGGCACGTGTCGTTAGCTTGCCCTGGATGAAGCTTCTGTGGTGATGTGCATACCACAGGCGAGGCTGCTGCAGGGTTTTGGGAAACATGTAATTACAGGGTGTTGGATGGAAAAAGGTAGTGAAAGAATCAAATAAAAATATTATTCAGTGCTTAATAAATATAGATATTTAAAACCCGCCAGACCCTGGTGTTCAGAAATTAATGTTTTTCTTCTGTTCCATTCATAGGTGATCATGGAGGAAGCACTTTATTGCCACCAAATGTCACGAATGAATTTCCAGAATATGGGACCATGGAGGAAGGCGGAGAAGGTCTAAGAGCATCTCTAGAGTTTGATGCAGAGTCTCTGCCATGTTGCCCATCGAGGGAGCAGGGGCTCCATCTTCTTGCTGGCCGAGACTCTCAGCTCCACAGTGTTACAGAAGGACCAAAAAATATCAGAGAGGCCTCCTCTCAAAGTCACCTCAAAGAACAAAGTTTACAATCCATTGACTCTTTGGTTTCAGCTCTGAAAGCCACCGAAGCCAGAATAGCTTCAGAAACATTACAAGCTACAAAGGTACTGGACAGAGATGCCATTTCTAGTTTTTCAGTTCAGCAGGTGGAAAAAGAGCCAGACACTGCCAGTCGTAAAACACAGAGAGCCATCACATCATTCCCTGCTGGGCCAGAAAAACTTTCAAATATACCTCTTGCAACTGAAGAAACGGTTGAGGAAAATTGTTATTTGCGCATCCAGAAGGATCTGACTACGCTGTTAACTGGAGAAACTCAACCAGAGCATTCCCAGGTTACTGATAATGGGAGAGCGGGGGCTGCCTGTGTGCAGGAGCCAGCTTGTCTTCTGTCCTCCCGGTGGAGCACAGCAGGGACTTCTAATTCAGCAGGCAGTGCTGATTTTCTGGAAAAGCAGAGACCTGATCTTGGGAGGGAGTATGCAGGGCGATCTGATCGAAGTGGTTCCCTGGGACGCCCCAGCCGAGTCAAACATGTGGAATTTCAAGGGGTAGAGATATTATGGACAGGAGGAGAGAAGAGAAAGATCCAGCATTCTACGGCAGCCTTGGCCACACCATTGGAAAGGACAGCCTTTCCTGAAACTGAGGAGTTTCCCAGAGTGGCAGGCTATCGCATCTCAGCAGCCCACCCGTGCAATTCAGTGAATTTAACAGAGAGTGTTTGCAATGATGCTTGGAATGCTTCCTCAGAGAGGCCTGGCACCACTAGCTCAGGGACATTTTCCCCTGTGCCCCTTGCTGAGAGTGGAGAGGATGAAGTCTTCCTGAAGGAAAACCAACATCTTGTGAAGAAACTTGAGAGGGAAAGTGAAAGGTGAGCTCTCAGAGTAGCCACTGGTGATATCTGGAACATACTGTAGAGAACTGTAATTTTGTGCATGATGCAAAACTCACCTGACAGCAGGGTCCTGTTTCCCTGCATTGTACTTGGGGTGGTTCCACTTACTCATGATCAGCAGCGATTTGAGAACAATAAATGGAGAATTTTAGGATTAAATAATGTATAAGTTTTAAACAACTTCTATTAGAACATATTGATGCAGTTGTTCTATTTTATTGTTAGTTATTGTGGTCAGCATCTTATTATACCTTATTTATAAAGTATATGCATAAGAACAAGCATAGTATGTTTAGGGTTCACTGTTATCTTGGAGGTCTTGAAATGTGTCCCTGCAGTGAGGAGAGGGACTGCTGCACCCTGGATCCTCGCTGTCACAGATTGGAAAGGAAGTTATTGTAAGATAGGTCTTTTTTATATTCTAAGCTTCAAAGTAAAGTGATTTTTTCATAAAGGTGTCCATTAGGCTTGGCCCAGGGAAAGGCAGTTTTGAAGAGACAAGGAACACAGTTTTGCAGATCCATTTCTGACATTTGTCACATTTGGCAGGCTTTGAGTTTTTCACATCACGGTACCTGAAACACTCCCTGACTATTTTTAATAATGTGATAGTATTTGGACTCTATTGACATATCCTGTATGCCTATTACTTCTTTACTCAGGCATTTCTTCTGGTTGCACACCCAGGGACCGTTGAGCTGCGTGTGTACAGTCTCCAACACAGCCTGCTTTCATGTGTGAGAACAGATTTGGGCTCGCTCAGTGTTCTGTGTTTAGAAGGGATGGCCCAGAAGGTCAGAATTGATGTCTAATTCATCTGTTCCATGGTATTCACATGGGAATTCCTTCTTCTCACAGTAGTGTGTGTTTTGGTTTATGGCTGGGACAATAAACTTGACATCATGTGATATTTTCTGGTCTTACCAACACTGCTGACTTCATTCCAGCTGAAAGCCTGGAACAAGGATCCATTTCTGACATTTGTTATATTTGGAAGACCTGACTCATCTGTCTTCACTCCCTTTGTTGCTATCTGACTGTGAGTGTTCCTTTTGGCTAAGTCCCTTGTTGTGTACAATACTTCTGTCACCAGACAGGGTCTAAGGAGCTCCCCAAAACGGAGCTGGAGACCTTAACTCAGCCCACCTCATGGGTGTTTGATTCTCATCAGAGAAAAGGAATTTCAGTACTCACTAGTAAAAAGCTTAGAAAACATTTATTAGCAAAGTTAAAGAGTTCTGATACTTCAGAGGCAGAAGTGTATATGGTTTGGGGTTGGAAATATACATGTTAGAGATATCATCTAGTTGGACTATGGAAATAGATAATCTTGTGTCCTGAAGTTGTAGGTTTGATTTGTTTCGGTTTTTGTACTGAGATTAAACCGGGACCTCCACATGGAGCTTCATTCTCACCCCTTTTTATTTAAGGGAGGGTCTTACTAGGTCTTACTAGTCACCAAATTGCCCAGACTGAATGTGAACATACAATCTGGTTGCCTCTACCTCCCAGAGTGCTTTGCTGGGATTACAGGCATGTGCCACCATGCCTGCCTAATCTCCTTTCTCCCTTTGTTCTTCCTGCCCGACCTCACTTGGAATTTGTAGCATCTTTCTTCTGTCGGTCCTCATGACACCATGCTATATTTATATGAGAGATGATCTGTGTCAAAGCTGAACTGTGTTTTGTCTTGTTTTTTGTTCCATAGAAGGAAATGGAACAAAACTTTTCTTCTACAACCACCAGATCCCCTGAGATGACTGTCAGGATCTTCCTCCTTCCCTCGCCCCTGACATAAACCCTCCAGACTTTCCTCAGAAGCATCCTTATTATGTTACATGTGGCTGTTTATATTCCCACCGGAATATGCACATTGGCTGTTGTTTGGATTATTAATTTATTCCTCCTTTCCTTCCTTTCTTTCTAAAGGTTTTTCATTTGTTTACTCTACCTTTAACCCTGATACATGCTTGCAGTAAAGGCATATTGAAGTAGATAGGGCCCATGGTGGTCACCATCCTCATGGAATTTACTGCTGAAGACAAAACTTTGACCACATTCATTAGTATGGGATTCTAGATAGTGCTAAGCACTTTGAAGGCAAAAAATGGAGACGATTTAGAAAGTAGAATTTGAATGACAGAGGAGATGCTTAATGGTGTGGGTGAGGACTTTCTGTGGAAACGTCAGTTAACCTGGAATTTGAAAAATGCATAAGAATCAGGCAGAGAATGGGGAAGAAGGTCAGTTTGGGAATGTTCCTTTTATTCTAGGAGCATTGGGAAGCTACTGGGAGGTGAAAATCCAGAATATTATTTAGTAAAAGATGGATTTGCAGTAACTTAAGATAAACAGAGACAACCACATTTGTTTGCTTATGGGTTCTGGTATACCTAGGCATTCAGATTACTTATGAGATACTTAATAGGTGATGCTATGTCTGTTTTATTTCTATTTCTAGGAATGAGAGGCTCAGAGAGGTTGAGCAAAGTTGCCTCAAGTGACGCAGCGTACCGCTGTTATCAACATTTAGCTCCAGGTTTTCCTAACTCTTGGCCTCTTGCTCTTACTACTCCTCATCCCCCAGGCCTTCATCTTTACTTAGTTATCCTAACGTTTGCTTTTACTATTTAAAAATCGTATTGTGTATTATGTCTCACGCTTATATGCCTAAATTAACACTCCACCCACAGATATGAACTTAAGTTGTTTCTGGCTTCCCTGGGATGCAGGTAGCCTTTAATCAGGCTGTCTGTTTTAGAGTCAGGTATTGGCTGTCCAAGTTTTGGACCTAAATTCTGCAGTGTGGCTTCATCATCAGCAGAGGGCAGCTCTTGGATTCTTATGTGTCACTGTGTGCAGGGCATTTGGTCTTGAATCAGAAAGTATGAATAACCCATGCAAGTTTAGTGTATTTTTACTAAACATTTACCGTGTCATGTGTTCACGATGTGTTTACTGCTTCTGTTATAATTTTTTGAAGTATTAGAGGTTAAATTCAAGGTCTTCACAGTAGGCTACCTTCACAGCCCTTTTTTATTTTGAGACAGAATCTTGCTAAATAAATTGCTAAGATACACAGGCTGGGCTTGAACTTGTAACCCTCCTGTCTCAGCTTTCCAGAGTGTCAGGATTACAGGTGTGCACACTGGGCTGCTTTTGTTATAATTAAAAATGATGGTAGCTGTATGTAATCTGAGTTTAAGGAATACAGCTAATTAAAATGAGAAGTTAATGTTTTATTCTAATCCTATTCATTGGACTAGACGTATTCTCATACTAGAAAACTAGTTTGAAACTTCATTAAATTACTTACAGGAGAATAACATGTTTGCTAAAGAAGTTTTCCAAACTATATGTATTTCATATCATCCTAGCCAAATAGGTTAAGGTACAATTGCAGTGAATATTAGTTACACCTACAGTGCATAATCTTTTTATATGGTTGAAGGGAGAAAATAAAAAGAAAAATAAGAACAATATTAAAATTCTTTACTCTTAATTTCTTTCAAGGATCCTGGAGGAAGAAGACCACCTTGGGGGAGGAGACGATGATATTCTGGGGACCGGATATACAGAGGACTCCACTGATGTGTATAGCTCCCAATTTGAGACCATTTTGGACAATACTTCTTTATACTACAGTGCAGAGTCATTGGAGACATTATACTCAGAGCCTGACAGCTACTTTAGCTTTGAGATGCCTCTTACTCCAATGATACAACAGCGCATCAAGGAAGGCGGCCAGTTCTTGGACAGGACTTCCACAAGAGGACATCAGGACATCCTGAGTGTCTCAGCGGACGGAGGCATAGTGATGGGCTATTCTAGTGGGATCACCAACGGGCTGAATGATGCCAGTGATTCCGTCTATTCAAAAGGCTCTCCAGAGATTGCCTTCTGGGGAAGGTACGACTACCATTCTTACGCGGTGATGGTTTTTGTAACGTTGTTTTTGGGAAATTTGAGTGTGGAATAGATTTATCACTTGGCCAGTTTCTGTGGATATAAACAAATGATGTAAGTAAGAAGTCTCTTGGGCTTTAAAGGCAGGCAGTTTGCCTCAGTGGTTTGCCAAAGCGGCAAGCTGTAAGCATTCTGTGCTGTATAGTATTTACTGGCTTGCCATATGTGAATGGATACTGAACACCCCCTTGTGGGTGATAAGTAGTTGTAAGTTCCAGCGATGCAGCGCTGATGGCACTGGTGTATTCTGTTAAAAGAACTTAATTCTGGTACTGACACTGGTTGATGAACAAGTTATTTGATTAGTTCAGAGACTCCTTTGTTACAGTCTGAGGGTGTTGCATTCAAAGGCCAGCAGTTCTTTTCCAGCCTTTTCCCTGAGGGTGTGTCTGTCTGAGTGTCTTCTTGTTCCCAAGACTGAGGGGAAGGATCTGATATGAATACCTGATAAAGCCCACACCTTGGCAAGACTTCACACACTTCTTTCTCTAAGATTTAAGTCGCTCTGGGAGATAAAGTGACAATCACCTGGGTCAGAGGCACGCCATACCTGTCATTTAGTAATTCCTCACGTGTTGTGGATTATGTAGTGTTTCATTTTTTTCTCACCTGTCATCTTTAGGTCATCTGCCTGTCATTTAGCATCTCCATCAGGAGCAGAGGATGCTAAACTTTGTAACTTTGTAAGCTTTACAAATTTAGTTTGTTATATTTTCCCTGAGTGTGTGTGTGGTGAAAGAAAGGTCACTTGGGGATAAACTATTTTAAAGCTGCCTGAATAATGGAAATGCTTTCTTTCTTTTAAAGTCAGTGTTCATATTACAGGTTTCCAGCAAATGATTCTTTTTTTGAGCTGTCCACCCTGGGTTTGCATTTTTTATAACAAGTGTATAGGTCTCTAGTTGAGTTGGATGAACAAATTTAAGAGACACACATTATAACACTGAAGGCCTGCATTTCCATGTGCAGTGGGTTTTGGTTGCTAGTTGTCTCCCTGGGTCACGGTGAGATAATGCAAAGAACATAGGGTCTCAAAAGCACAATACTTTGGTCTGAATTACTTGAGCAAGCCACTTATTCTGTCAGGAATGTGATTTGCTCATTTGGAAAATGGAAATGATGCTACCCCGTGTGCTGCATGGCAGGGGAATTTAAAGGGTTGCTGTACAGTTGAAAGCAGAGAGCACAGTGCTTGGAATAAAGTCAGGGGAGCCTGAGCCGATGTTTGGATCTGAGCTGGTTGGCTGGCAGGTCGCAGTTGATTTCTGCACCTCTGAGAGGGGTGTGTCTGCAAGTGGAGGGTGGCCCTGAAGGGAGGGGTCCCTGCTGGGGACACCACTGACTCTGGGACACTCTGCATTAGAGTGTGCCACATTAGTCCTTTGCCTTCCTCATCCCTGGTGACTGCCAATTGTAATAAAATGCTATAGGATAGGTTTGTAAATAATTTCATTGTAGTTCTGACCCGACTTTCTGTGTGTGGGGTGTGGAAGTTGTTTATATCACAGGCCAAAACAGGTTGGGGCACTAGAAGGTTTTGGCCCCAGGGGAAGGTGAGTCAGGGAAGAGAAGAGGCGAGCCTTACTCAGTGAGTCTGAACAGGAAGGAAGGAAGGAGGTTAAGGGCTCCTTAGATGTCTGGCTTGTGCAGCCTGTTTGAGAAGTAGTCATCATTTGAGTGACATAGGGCCACTCATTAGTGTGGACATAGTCACAGGGAGAAAATGTTGGAGCAGATACAAGGTTTTAGCCCCTGGCGCTTAGCTGCTTCTCTTGTGTGCTCAGACTAGAGAGTGTACAGTAGTAGAAGACCCAACTCTAGTACTACAGGAGCAGTACCTTAGAGATGAGCCCGCCCTGCTCCTTTCCCAGCCCTAGGCTCCTCCTACAGGGTTTCTGGTTTCTTTCTTTTTTGTATGTTTGAGACAGGGTCTCACTATGCAGTTCAGACTGGCCTTGAATTTACTTTGTAGCCCAGATCGATCTCGAACTCACAATTATCCTCCTGCCTCAGCTTCCCCGGTGCTGGGATTACAGGCTTGCACCACCACGTTCCGCGGCTCCTACAGGGTTTCTGACTGGTGGTCCTTCCACACTTCCACAGCACTGCCCGTGACATAGCACAGCTGCACAGGGCACATGGGGGTTTTGGGTTCTTTAAGCCAGTAAGTAGTTATAAGTGAAGAAAGTTTTATTTTATGATGTATGTATATGTTTTATGATATACATTTAGGGTTTAAAAAAAGGAGGTGACAGGTTTAATAATTAAGAAGTTTTAAAGAACTAGAAAACTTTGGTATTTTTCTGTAGCCCTTCTGTTTTCTTTGGTGCTTTGGAGAATTCGCACTACCAGAGGCACTGTGTTGGCACCGGACAGCCAAAGGGGCCTCAGATAACTTTATTTTGTATTAGAGTCCCTGTGTCCCACCTCGGGAATTATCCAAAGCCACCTGACCTTCCAGTGACAGACTGTTCCTCAGATTGCAGTCACCTGACTCCTAGTGCCTGGTATTTTATATTAATATTCTTTCTTCCTATCTGTTTTCTTGCATGCTGTGTCTATGAGGGCAGAAGGCTTAGTTGGTCTCTTTTCAAGAAACCAAGTTCTGAGTGTAGAGTGGTTGTTGTCCCTGCTGGTGGTGGTGGTGTGTGTTGTTATTATTATTGATCTGAGGAAATATTGACCAAATCATTACTAAGCATATTTCTATCAATTTTAAAGCGATCAATGAGCAGAGTTGTAGAATTTCTTCCCCATTAAAACCTCCTTCTGTAGAGGTGAGAGATGAACACAGAGGTCCTGAGACTGTGCAGGAAGTCCAGTGGTTGCAGACTGTACAAGAGTCAACATTACTGACTTCACTCAGCCAAGCACAGAGGGACAGCTGGAAGCAAAGAAAAGATTTTCCAGTTTCATTAGAAAATGCAATATTTACAAAGGCAGCGTGATAAATAAGAGGAGGACGTTTGTTCTGTGTCCCCCCAGCCTCTCCTGTTCCCTTAGTCCTGGGCTGGGAGTCTGACCACATTGTCTGAAGGGAGCTCCCAGGAAGGCACAGAAGAAGGGCAGGAAACAGTAAGTTCTCTGATAACGCCCCTTCCACACTGTGTAGGGCAACTGAGGAAATTAAGCCCATCCCTGTTAAGGGGTTGATTTTAATGCATACAGTGTTAATTGTTAGCTAGTAGAAATATTATGAGATTACTTTTGCTGGTCTCTAAAATACTTTAATAACATAGGTAAAATACTTTAATAACAAAGGATTTTATTTATTTTGTTAACACATGGTACTTAAGTCTCATAATAAGCTGGGAGAAAGAAAGGAACTGTGAATGTTCTTATTTTCCAGACCAGGAATCCAGGCACAGAGAGGTTAAATAACTCCCTTACAGCTGCAAGGGCGGTTGTGGCACACCTGGCACCTGAGCCCCACCTGCGGAGCCTGTGCTCTTACCTAGCTGTGCTGGATCAGACCCGTGACTGACGTGGACAGTGATAATGGCTCCTGACAGATGCTGTGACAGATACTTTGAATGAGACAGAAATGCATTTGCTCTGCTATTGCTGAGATAGATTTTTAAAGCCTCTCCTATTTTAATACATAACATTACTTTGTCATTGAAGACTATTTCAGTGGCAGTATTTGATAGTGGTTTCTTTTGAGCAGAGACTGACTTTATCTCTGTTGCACTGCGTCTTTAAAGAAAGCGTGGGGGGTGGTAGTTGGAGGATGTTGTAGGAAGTTAGTAAACCTTCACCTCCTTTCCCAGGATACCTTCCTGCCTCCTGGCTACTCTCCCTACAGGTGTCAAAGAGAAAGAAGCCCCAGCTCTGTTATATTCTAGTGTCTGGTTGGGAAGGACTTTTTTTTTTTTTTTTTGAGTTCTTATCTCACTTTTTATCTTTTAAAGTATTATTTGCTGTTCAAGAGACAAACTCCCTCACAAAAGTGGTAGACATTGCTCAACAAAGGCCAATTCTCAAGAAGAAAAAGTATTATAGGTGTCTGTGATATCAAATCACTGTTCATAAGGAAAAAAAATGTTTCTCAAAATCCTAGCATCAGCGTGACTGGGAATAGTTAAATTCCCCCAGGTCCTCTGCCTGATGTTGACTGGAGATGCTTGTCAGCTAGGAAAGAGCTCACCCTGCGATGTAACACAATATTTTAATGAGGGAGTGGAGAGTAGCATCCCCTCCTTTTGTGGTCCAGCTACACAGCACTCATGCTGACAGGGGTCAGCGGTGCTGTGTGAAGTCCAGTCACATGGCTCCAAAATTAGAAAGGATAATTAGAGACTTACAGTTACACATGTTCCAATGGGTTCCTTTGTGTCTGGGTGCTTCTCTCTCGCCGGCCCATCAGCTGATGATCACAACTCCAATCAGTAAGTTCAACCTGAAGACTGCAGGGCACAGAGGTGGACATTGTGACCATTATCAGAGCAGAATCGTGTCCATTTCTATGGATCTTGGGTTTGGACGAAGAGGAAAAGAGATACAGCAGATGCAGTAATGTGGCAGGAACTTCTCTTTTGGTTCTTTGAACCCTATGAAGTTGTTTTTTAAAATTACCTGTTTGGTGTGATAGATATACTTTAGATCTCAGGTTCCTAGGGTTTGTCTCAGATATTGCTGAGGATACCAGACAGTTCCGGTATGAGGGGTGAATTATATCTGTGTGCGACTGATATGCCTGAGTAAAGTGCTTCTGTGTTCAGCGCTCCCTGAATCTGAGATTTGTGGTTTTCTGTCTTCCTTTTGACCCTTCCTAGCCTTCCATTGGAATGTTAGTTTTTAGAGCTATTCTTTCCAGGTTTTTGCATCCATCAGTGTTTTCCTGCTTAGGAGTAAGTCATGCGGAACAACAGTGATGCAGAAAATTTGTTAAAGTGTGGTTTCAAAAATTTTCCCAATATTTCAGAGCAAAAGCTGGAAGGCATTTAAATATTAAAATAAGAATACGATGTGGCATTAATTAGGCAGTGACAAAGAAGAGTACTTTGGTTTCCTGGAGATGTCTGTGGAGCTCCCAGCTTGTCTTCTTTAGCACTGGAAGCTCTGCTGCATTCTAGTTCTCTAGCAGGTGGCCTCTCTCTCACTTTTTTGTTTTACATTTTATAGTTTATTTTGTAGAAAGGGTGGTTCTGCATTTTCTCTTTTTAGCTTCCCGCAAGGGATTTGCTTTTAATCAGCCAGGGGTGGGTTCTGCGGGGTGCTGAAGGAAGAGGTCTCTCCTCCTCAGCCTTATCAGACCTTGTCTCAGTTACTTTCCAGGTATGTGATTGTGAATAAATACAAAAATCTGGAAACCTTTCCTAATACAAAATAAAATTATTAATAATTTGTCATTAAGGAAGGAGGAACAGATCAGAGAAATAAATCAGAAAAGAAAATCAAGCGGTCTGTCGATGTCTGGTATGTAGCAGGAGACAATACCAAGGACTGTAGTAGCCCAAACTGTCATCCTGCCACTGTGCCCTAAGTTCAAGCCACCATCAGCCTCTGACTGGGCCGCATCCTTTCTTCCAGGCTCTAAATCTCCTGAGGCACTTATTTCTCAGCTTCCCGACACATAACTTTCCTATGAAGTGCAACGTCCTGTGTTAGGGTGGAATAAATCTGGTATTACTGGCGTGTCTTTTCATTTGTGAAACTTCTGATTTCTTGCTGGTAAGATGGAAATAACCTTACCAACCAACTTGTTGTTAGATTTGCTAAGTTCTAGTTTGTGAATATTCATTTTTTATCAGGTCAGAGTTTTGCAGTTGTGGTCTGAGTAATAGTCTAAGAAGTACTAAGCAAATACTGAAGAAGAAAAAGACAACAGGACTTGGTAAAGGTTTGAATGCAAGTGCTGCGGGCTGCATCTGCATAGTTGTGGGGGTTCCAGCCTAGATGGCTTAGTGAGTCAAGAAGTTATCACCAGCAGCAGGGCATGAAGCAGCATTTGTACCAGAATGCCCAGTGGGTTGAGCTTTCAAGTGATGTGGTTTGAAGAGAGCCAGGGTCCTGTGTAGGGGGCAGGTAGAAACATGGGATTGAAGATGGCTGGTAGAACTTTGGAGTCATGCTCTTTTCGGTGCCACTTGCAGTTGTGGGAGAAAGAAAGCTCTCAGAGAGTGAAGAGTGGGCTTGAGAGGTGCTCAACTCTGGGGCCCAAGGGCGGCACCCGGGAGTACTGGGATGCACCTTGTGCTTCATTCTCATTCTCCCTTTGCAGAAAATATGCCTGGTGAGGTCAGTCTCCTGGCAGCTCCCTTGTACTTGCCTCCCTTCTCACAGTCAGGAGCCCATCGTGGAGGCTGAGTGCTTTGATTGCTGCCTGTTTTTCCATGCCCTTCTCAGAGCCTTTGCTGTGGCAGTGCTGGGCTTTCTCTGTGTGTGGAGTGCCTCTTGCATAAATTTGTGACGACTTTAGAAAGCGGCCCTGGGTTTGAACTAGATATTCCAGAACATTCTCATTCTGCAGTTTACGCTTCAAATCAAACAAAATAATTCCTTGGGTGTTAGTGGATTTTAATGTGAAAATTGGAAGGCAGTACCTACTTGGATGATCATTTATTGAAACTGACTTCATATCATAAAGGAGCTGGAGGTACAAGTTATTACAAGGAGAATCATGACTTGAAATAAAGATTGGAAAGTAGAAACCTTTTATTTGGTTGCAATGGCAGATACAGCAATCTTTTTATTCCTACATGTGTGCAGTATGTAAATTTTACAGGGAGCAAGGTCATTCCTCTTAGCAGGTCCCTTAATACCATGTTTGCAAAAGTAGATGTTATGCATTGATTCTTGGTTTGGGGAGGAGAAAAAGAGATGGACCGTTCCCAAGTAAATATTTCAGTAAAAGTATTTTACTTAGATGCACAAATTTACCTGAACCCAAAATGGACAGTTTCCCAATGCTTTAATCTTATTTTTTCTTCATAGGCTTTCTAAAAGCTAAAGTACAGAGTCTGTATTAAATTTGTTTAAGTTTCTAGAGTGGCTTTCATATTCAGCACCTGAGACATAGAGTGGCCATGGTACAAAGGAATTTGAATATTATCATTCTCATGAACGCTAATAATGAAGATTAATACTAAACTCCATCTAAATCAGTCCTAGATAGATATTCTGATTTCATTGTACCCACCTCATGTGCTGTTTCTTTTGCCTATGTCTGGAACCTCTGTGTGCTATTATTCTGTTGGTCTGTGAATCTAAAGTAATGAAAGGAAAACCTTATAAATCAGACACATTGAACTACTGAAATGTTCTAATCTTGTTACTCATCATCTTGCTACCTAGTAGTTTGTTGAAATGAGAACTCTCTGGCTGTACTTGTAAGCTACTAAATCAGAATCTATAGCTTACCCAGATATGCAGGTGGTTTATGTATCCATGGAATTTGAGAAGTCTTCTTCCACAGCGGTAGTCCATGGACCAACTTTGAGTACTACAGTTATACTACAGTGATCCTTAAACTGGATAGCACATTAAAGATATGTGAGAGCTCTCTTAAATTCTGATTCTCCAGAGTCTGGACTCTATTGGTCTAAGGTGCTTACAAAGCTTCCCGGGAGATTCTAATGTGCAGCTAACCTTATCAATCTATTGCTGCTCCCGGACATAGTTCTCAGATAGCAGCGTAGACATGAGTTCGAATTTTGTTAGAAGTAGTTCAGAACTTATAGTGGGTATGCTCAGTGAAGTTTGCATTTTAATAAATTTCCAGGAAGTTCATAAGCACTTTACAGCTTGAGGAGCTGAATACAGACAGAATACAAACTGGGGATGACATAGACCCTGCTTCTAAGAGCAGCCAGGTTGTTAAAGGTAACTATAACTGTGATGGGGATAATTCTGCTACCAGATGTGTGTAAAAGTGAGTGCTTCTGGCTGTGAACCTAAACATAACTTCTGTGTCTCTGGTGCAGTGATATGGGGTACCCATCTCTACTCTAGAAATGTAAGGGCTGATTTCTTATTAGAGAACAGTACTGTTATGGTTTGGATCTTTTGTGTTTTTTGTGATACTGGGACTCAAGCCCAGGGCCTTGTACATGGTAGGTAAGCTTTATACCACTGAGCCACATCCCCAGGCCTTGGTTTTATTTTGAGATAGACTCTCAGTAAATTGTAATCCTCTTCATTAGTGGGAGTCACAAGTATATGCCACTGAGCTCATATGGTTTGTATCGTAACTATCCCCCAAAGGTATGTGTTGAAGGCTTGGTTTCCAGCCCATAGTAGTGTTGGGACGGAAGTGATGGCACCTTTAAGAGGTGGGGCTTAGGTGGAGGAAGTGAGGTCACAGGGGGCGTGTCCTTGAAGGACTATGGCCCTTCTTCCCCAGGCTTCCTAGCCACCATGAGGTGGGCATCTTTGTTCCACCATATAGTTCCTTCACCACAGGCCCAAAGTGAAGGAGTCAAGTGATCACTGACTGACACCTCTGGAATTGTCAACTAAAGTTAATCTTACCTTGTTTTAAGTTGATTATTTCAGTGACCCAAGTGTGGTTTTATGGTGAGTGGGTTCTGGGAAGATTTCTTTGGCTCAGATTTTAATAGATTCTCTTTCAGCCTGAAATCCTTTATCTGGAAAAAGGGATAGCAATTACTGACACTTAACAGTAGCCAACTTTTAGTGAGTATTCATTATTAGTAATAATAGTGGTTGAATTATTGTCTTTGAAACTTCATAAAAGTCAGTTTGTATGAATGGACTGTGGTAAGAGGAATTTAAAATGTTATATAACTATAATAATCTTAAAAATCTTAGATTATTTGAAGATAAGGATAATATGATAGTATGTTTTGTTATCTTTATAATTATTCTATTTAGCATCTCCAAAAAAAGGCAATATTTTCTTACCAGGAAAGTCTTTAGTATAGAGAAAATAAAAGCTATTGAATAATTATACTGTTAAAATCAGAAAAATTCATTATTTGTACAAATAACAATAACAGGTTATAGATAAATTGCCAAATCCAGGAATGATGTGGTACCTAGGAATGGTCGCATGTCTCTTTCCCATTCCTATCTGGTCATGGTAACTATGATCTACTGGAACTTATCATTCCTACATAGGATCCATTCATAAACATCGTTTTATTGTTCCACATGTTTTTAAGTTTCTATAACTACTGTCTTCTTTCTCTCTCTCTCTCCTTTCTTTCCTTCTTTCTTTCTTTCTCTCTTTCTTTCTTTCTCTTCCTTCCTTTCTTTCTTTCTTTCTTTCTTTTTTTCTTTCTTTCTTTCTTTCTCAGCACCTGAAATTTGCTTTTACTGATTCACAAAATCCCAGGTTGTCTGTTTAGCTACTATATTGCATTCATTATATGTGAATGTATTATAAATTATTTTTTTTTCTTATGAGATTTTAGTTATAATTTATATTTTTGTTGTCTCAAACTGTGGCACCGTGCATACAATTCTTGTACATGACTTTCTGTGCATATATGGGAGACTGGGTGTATATTTAGGAATAAAATTGCTGCATGGTTAGCGTAATCATTTTTTGGTGAACAGGGCAATTTTGAAAGGGCTTATTACATTTTGTTTGAATGCATATAATTTTATGTGTTTCTGTTTATAAGGTAACTTTTAGTTCTTTTACCTCTTGAACCTCCTAGTTCCCATGTATACTGAAAAATAGCAAAAAATCTGAAGGAAAGGCCT